AGGAATTGTCACACTATTTGGCATAGTAGCTGTACCATTTTACATTCCACAAATGTTGCTAGAGTAGAACCCACACTTTTCTTTTTCAAATGGCACAATTTTATGTATAGAAAATATTTTTTCAAGCTATAGACAAACTATTATCTTTTGGTTAAAACATTTTAAATTTACATAGTAATTTCTTTTCCTCCATATAGATTATAGTGAATATAATTATTTAATACCAAAACATTTGGGAATTTTATATTTATCTTTTGGTTAACAATTTACAGTTCTAATTCCTTGATGGTCAGAAAACATCTTTGATATGATTTTTTAAATCCAGAAATTACTGTTTCTTGTTTTAAGGACCAATATATAGTTAATTTTAGAAAATTTTCTAAATAAATTAAAAAAATGTGAATTTGGGAATTATTTGACATTCATGGAATCAGTTACTTATATTTATTAATTATTTTGTTCACATATTCTGTCACTTTTCTGAAGTTTTCCCATTTTTCCCACCCTTTATTGGATACATGCATCATGGACTTTCTCTATGATTGTGGATTTTCCCATTTCTCTTTCAGTTTCTGTCAGTATTTGCTTTATACGTGTTGAAACCATATAATTAGGTGAATATAAATTTAGAATGTTTGTATTTTCCAGGTGAAATGATCCAGACATTTTGCAATGAATCTTCTTATCGTGCATAATATTCCTTGCCTTCAATTCTATTGGCTGATATTAATGTAGCCTCACCAGATTGTTTGTGTTGGTTGGGATAGAGGGAGTAAAAGCAGGCAGAAAACCCACACTTTTAACCACAACAATATATTAATTTTTTTCACAAAATTTTTAAAAGTTGACCTTAAATTGGTTTCTAATTTCTAGTTTGTTTCTTTTTATATGATTAAACACAATTTGTAAATTTCACCTCTTCTAGGTTGCAACTTTTTTTCAAGGACACTTCATGTCATTGGTAACTTATTTCCAAACTTACCATGATATTAAGAAAGGTATCTATAATGTTGGTGGTGTTGATGGAGAACTGCACCAGGCCATCCTCATTCGTGGTAGCATTTGAGTGATAGTTAGCTTCATTTGCTGTGATGAAGATGATTTTATTTGGCATAGGGATGCCTTTCGCATCCACAAGGCGCACCTGAAGATTAAAAACAGCAAACATATTCATTTCATCACAAATAATTTTTGAATGCCTCCTATATGTTGCACATAGTTTTCAGATATTGAGGATATAGTTGTGAGCAAGAAAGAGTTCTTTCACCACAGAGCTTACGGTCAAGTAAAAGAGACATACATTAAATACATTCAAAAATAATATACACTTATTTAGTAATAATCAATTCTGCAAAGAAAACTAAGGCAGAGTGAAGGAATAGAAAGTGACAAGAATAATAGGGATGATCTGAAGAATGTATTCTGGGTATTTTAGAAACACTGAGAATTTTTATAACTCTTGGAGAGTTACAGGGCACCAGAATAATATAGTAATAGAAAATTTTAATCCAGGAGTCAAATTTATTTGAGACTTGAACACTTATTTTCTGGTAGATTATTAGCTTTTACAATTAGTGTCATAAAGTATCATAAGTACATAACCGAGGAATGGCTAATACACTATCCTGTGTGCTTTTCTAGGTAGTTTATATATGGTATCGTCTTCTCAACCTAGATTTTTCCATCTTTTGGAAAGTAGGCAAATTTCATGATGCACTTCCCATATTAAAAATATAAAAGTGAAGTGATGCACAAAGTATTAGTGAGGTAAAGCCAAATGACCTCCTGAGTAGTACAGGAGAAGTGTAGCACAGTTCATATTTTCCACAAGGTGACTTTGTTTTTCACAATGAAGTACTTAAAAAGTTTTTATTTTTAATTGACATAGTAATTGTAAATATTTATGGGGCACAATATGACATTTCATTACATGTTACAATGTGTAATGATCAAATCAGGGTAATCAGCATATCTATCACCCCAGACAATTATTATTTCTTTGTGGTGGGAACATTCAAAATCCTTTTTAAATTATAAGCTACTTTTGGTTGCAACAAGCAAAATACACTGACTTGGGTCAGTATTCATAATTGATTAACAAAATCTTAAGTTTGTCAATGAAATATCAGTTCCATGTACAAACATAATAGGCACAAAATTCCAATTCTTTATTTTCAAATAAATGTATTTGAAAATGATATATATTTTAAACACAAGTAAACATTTTTAAAAGTAAAAATATTTTTTTTTGATTTGTGAGAAAATTTATACTTTTAAAATCTGGGAACCTTAAATAGAACTTTATTCCTGTTTAATATTTTTTAAGTATACTTTTAATAGAAAATTAATGTAAATATATTTACAAGTGAAATATTAGGACTAACAGAATCTTGGATACTTCCAAACAAAAAATATAAGCACCAGTAGGTGCTCATCCATTTCTATACAAAGTTAGTGTTAGCAGGATAAGGTAATGGGTCATCCTGAATTTCTAGATTCTTGTGAGAAAGTAGACTAAAAATTTGAGATTGCTTGACAAATCAAGAAAAGGAGACCAGTGACATCCTACATTGCTGTTCCAAAAGAGAGAGAAAAAAACTTTAAATTTTGATAGAATTTTAGAATGATTTTATAGATTTTTTATACAAATTTCAGATGAATAGATGTATTTTTATGTTGTTGTTTGCTTTTGGTTATATTTCCTACTGTGGTTGATTGATAACAAATTAAGTATAACTTGATCAGAAACCATATGTGATTTGACTAGTGAACTGCAAAATACTCCACCTGTCCAAAGAAGGGGATCCCTTGTCTAACATGTGAGTCCACTGACACAAATGAGAGCTTGGTTATGGTGTTTGTGATTTCACTGGACCCTCTTCCTGTTACTTCCACACCTGGAAAAAAAATGATTTATTGAAGGATGATGTCCCTGAACTTCTTATACTACCCTTCCCTTAATTCATTATTTGGCTAAGGAAATGAATAAATGCTCATTGTCATTCTTCCATATCCACATGGTACACAAACCAGTTCCTTCTTCTTGGATCTTGGCCTCCACCTGCAGTTGCATTTCATACCCTGTCTTCTTCAGGTGGAAGATAGTGGTTTTTACTTGTTGGAAGAAGCAGCCATGGCTGTTGAGCTAAGAGCAGAGAAAATAAAATACAAAAACATATGTAACTGTACTGGACAGATCAGTGCTCAGTTAATGGATTTTTTGAGACAACTTAATCTAGGCATTTTCTATGATAAGTACAACATATATACTATCTAGGAACTAATTATTGTATTTCACAATGACATCTCATCTATATCCTTATATACATAATATAAAAATATCTTAAATTCTTACATATATTCTTTGGTATCTGAAATTCTCTAGAGACAATGAGATAGAATGCATTAAAATTTGGGGGATAATCTTACTATGGTATAAAGCTAACTCTTCACCACAGTTTGGGTTCTCCTCTCATAGTTGACAGTTGTGGCTGGGAATTGGCTGCCCATCTGAAGACTTTCCTACCTCCCTGGGATCTAGATGGGGCCATGTGACAGGTTCTTGCTTATAGAAAGAGAGCAGAACCTGTTCAGCAAAGGTAATTAAAAAGATGTATGTTTTTTTTCTTCCTTTCATAGAAGTAAATGCCCAGAGTTTGGAGGACTCCTACATTCTAGAGCATTCAAGTGGGCAATTACAAAAGATAATTCCTATTGTGCTAAGTCATTGATTTAGAGAAAATTATAATATCTAGCATGGAATTCTCTTCTAGATTGTTCTACGCAAGTTAACATCATGCTGTTATTCACTGCTTATCAATATGCCTTTATTGTTAGTCCCCTAAGAGGCCTTGTTTTCAACCTACCTTCTGGCTGAATTTCTCACAGAAAGCTTCTGACTCTTCACCAAAACAGTTAGAAGGATTATTATACTTTCTGCAAATGCTCATAGTCACATGTCCTGGGACAGGCTTCCCATATGTGTATCTGCCATGACAACATTGCAAATGAGTCAAAGCAGACACGGAACACCTCTATTTCTTACCTGAAACTTCTCTTAGCTACAGTATATTCACCCTCTGTACTTCCCTCTGCTTCTGAAGGGCTCAAAACCTGTTGAGGGCAAGCAAACTGAGCATTTACTCTTCTCTTTTAGAAAATCTCCAGTGGAATATGCTGAAATTCACTATATTATTCTTTCATTGTGTGTTTTGACTTTATCATTTCAATACCATGTTAATAATGTCTTCATTATTAAAAAGCTAAACTTAAACTTTTTTATGTTGACCAGTTCATATTTGCTTTTTTATATAAACTTTTTTTTCTAATTAGTTATATACATGACAGCAGAATGCATTTCTTTTCATTGTACACAAATGGAGCTCGACTTTTCAATTCTTTTGTTGTACATGATGTAGAGTTGCACCATTTGTGCAATCATCCATGTACCTAGGGTAATGATGTCCTTCTCATTCCACCATGGTTCCTACCCCCAAGTTCCCTCTCCTTTCTCCTCCAAGAGCTATAAATACTCTTAAGAGAAAAAGCAATACCAATAAAAACAAAAGAAAGAAAATAAAATCAAACAGAAGTATTGAGCACCTGAAAATTACATAGGAATCTAAACTATTAGTATGATGATGTTTCCTCAGTATAAACCTATGTTTGCATTGCATTTTATTTGCTTTTATAAAAATGGGATTGGGCATAAATATATGATAGGTGATTACTGTGTTTTTCTGGGCATTTTTCCTTCCCTATTTAGAGTATTTTCTATATTGCTATTTGCAAGAGAATTAGCTCATAAGTTATGTGGGATTGGGCACTTGGTGACCATTACCTTTAAATAGCACAGGCAGAGGGGCCCAGTTGAATAGTAGGTGCCATACATGAGTACTTTTTAGGCTTTAGGACCTATCTTTTCACTTAGCTTATTTTTTTTGTGTGTGTGTGTGTGCTACTGTGGGGCTACCATGGATGTGGATCTAAGACCTTGGAAACATGAATTTTTAAGGTTGGGAAGAACTATGCTGAGCTATTGTGTTCAGTTATCTCAGTAAAAATGGCTACAGAAAGATATGTGACATGCTTTAGGTAGACTGCTGAGCTAGATGAGATTTTGGTTACATGATTATCTCTATACATTCTGAATCTAGTCTTGTTTTCTCACTGTGCTTTCCAGGGCAGGTAAATGATCTTGATGATAGAATTTTCTTTATAACCATGTATTGATTATTTCCCACATAGATGTTTTGTTATTTCTGGTTAAGGTAAAGTCACTACACTTCAATACTATTCTGTGTGTGTGCACACACTCATGTGTGGGTGCGCGCCACTTTCAGAGTCATTCCTAGCAGAATGTCCTCTCTGGAAACAGTTCTCTACCCCATGATAGTTACAGTAATTCTGAAAAAGACATGAAAGAAAATAGGAAGAGTAGAAAAACAACAAGAGAACATTCTAGAGATGGGGATGCTTCCAGAGTACTGAAAGTATTTGTGTTGAGGCTACTGCTAGAGAAACAAGCCAAAATATCTCAAGTGGTGAATCTCCTTTAAATAATTTCCCCTAAAAGATTAAAAAATCAACTCACAGGCCACACACTGACACGTTCACCTCTTCTTCCATGATAGTGATTATCTTTGGCATTGTTACTTGCACTTCAAACTTGGGAAGCACTGTTAATTGGTAATAAAGGAGGTTGAAGATTGTTAACTTTGGAGGCATTAATATTTTCAGTTTCTCAGTAACAATTCTCTAGTGATACTTTGGGGCGTTGAAAAAGGTAGCTTTATTCTCTAATACTGTTATCTATTTTACTGTTATCTATTTTACTCTCAAATGAAGATTTTGGTTGAGGGACTATGACAGATCCCTGAACCTTAGTGAATTATGAATGCTTCTACAAAAATAAAGATATTTTATTTTGGATATTAAATAGCACTGCAAAAATAACCAAGCTATATGAAGACTTATTCAAAGATCATTGGAGTCCTTGGATGTCATTAGTTCTACTCCAAGCCCAGTTTCACCTATGGGAAGTGGAAGGACTATAAATAAGTTTAAATTTTAGTCCCTAAAAGTTTAAGTATGAAGAAAAATGTTCCATGACTTTCCATGATCCATACCAAATTCCTCCACAGCAAAGGGGTGTTCTGTTGTTCCACTTGATTCCTTCTGTACCACAACATTGTAGATGCCCTGAAGGGGCTCCGATGAGAGGGGAAAGGACAGCTGTTTGAGACCACTCTCTATCTTGAGATTCTGCCATTGTATAATTCGATTTCCTTTGGGATCCTATGGATAAATTAGTTATCATTTACGAAATTGCTTAGAACATCAGAGATAATCAAAGGAATCTATAAATCTATCTTATATTCATTTTTCACAGAGGAAAAATGGGGTAGTAGTGAGGGGTTTGGATGGGAGATGAGTTATAACCAAGTGAATTTGGAGGCATCTCCCTTAATGACAAATTTCTGAGATATTGTAAGAACCTGTCCGATAAGAATATTTTCCCTGAATTTATTTTTTCCTTCTAATAATGGAATATTTTATGTTACTTACCTTAATATATAGTAGTGGTATCTGAAATACAAAAAGAAAAGAAAGAAGTTGATAATAGTTCCCAAATATTCCCTATTCTCATTTCTATGGGGTAATTTCATGTAAATGAAGAATAGCACACTCTATAATAAATCATGGAATGACTCCAGGTTAAATTTTATAAAACTTTTAATTAATCCATCTTAATTAATAATTGATGTTAAATACTAGACCATCAACAAATATATATGTGTATTGCCATTCATTAGGAATGGGATTTACTAACATTACTTAAGTTCGAATAGCATTCAGAATGAATTGCTGCAACCTGGCCAATAATTTATCCAGAGGATCCCAAAGGAAATTGCATCATACAATGGCAGAGTAAAAAACATTCTTTTGCTATGCAACTTTACAGATTGAGGAAGACATACTTATGTATCTTTATTAATTTTTAGATCCTTATCTAATCATGTTTAAGTCTAATTATTAATATGGCTAACAGAATTCTTAGGTAATTTTAAGAGCTAGAAGAAATGGAAATAGTTCTCCTAATCAATGTTTTCTTTTCATGTAATTCAATTTTTTATCCTTAGAAAGATTTAAGTGGGGGATGGGGCTGTAGCTCAGTTGTAGAGCACCTGTCCCGCATGTGTGAGGCATTGGGTTCAATCCTCAGCACCGCATAAAAATAAATAAATAAAGATATTGTATCCATCTACAACTATAAAGGATATTTTAAAAAAGATTTAAGGGCATATAAAATAAGACTAGGCTTCTATAAATAAGAAATCATAGAAATATTGTAAATTAAAAAAGAGGTCAAAGTTAGAAAGCTAAATGGGATAACACTTCTGAGTATTCATTTTTTAAAACTAATATTTATTATGTACTTACTCATGTGTTTGTATCATTCTAGATGTTGAGAATATAGCAAAGCATAAAAGAACAATATATCTACTTTTAAGAAGTAGATGGATGGATAAAAAAGAGCTTTTATATATATTATTCATATACATATATAATATAGATATAAGTGCCAAGAAGAACGAACAAAGAAGTATAAAGCTGATAGAATAATGGATGTGATTTGATTTTGTATATAAGAATGAAGGTAGAGCTTGGGAGGTGAGTTTCAAAGTAATTGCAATGAACTTGTTTACAGCTGGTATTGGCCTGGTTGTTACAATTCAGGTAGTGAGAAGCAGTCTGGATGTATTTTAAGCCAATGATTTCCTGGTGAAGGGGAAGTGGATGTGAGAAAGAGAAGCAAGGATTATTTCATCATCTTTTGTCTTAGGAGCTAGAAGAGAAGAATTTTTTTTTTTTTTGAGATGACAAAATGTGATGGAGTTGTCAATTTGAGAGAGAAAAATGAAGAATCTGGTTTGATATCTAAATTATAATAGAAAGAGTTATTTCCTATCACAAATTCTGAAGCTTCAATAGTGAGGAACACATTGATTACCTTCATATTCCTTCACAGAGATTTTGGTAAATGTGTTTAGAAAAATGTTAAATCTCTGAGAAGTCAATTTGAACTTAGGTTCTTTGACAGTTTTTCTGCATCCATTGTTTAATAATTTTATCTAATTTTCCTAGCTGGAATCTAAAGAGTAAGTTTGAGTATTTGACAACTGATTATCAGACCAAGACATAAACTATGTACTCTTGACCTGGGAAAATGTTTTCAATGAGGATCTCGTGCTATTCTAACATCAGAAATTAGTGATATCAGATTCTTTCTCTCCCTGGTTATCACTTCAACACAAAAAAAGTGGTTCCCATCCAGTTTATACAAATAATAATGACTATACATAAATATTGGCAAGAGACTCACCAAGTCATTCAGGGGGTGAAAGTTTTCATCCAATGAGACAATGCGAAACTTCACTGAAATGAAAGTATTTTCCATGAGCTCCCCAAACCCTGGACTGGGCCCATAGCTTAGTGTAAGACAAGCTATTAAGGCACCAGGATTTTAGGGATTTGGGGTACCAGGCAGGGGAGGATGATCTTTCCTTTTTGATGCTGTCTTGACTGTAAATCTCTTCATACCTGTCTGTCCTGGTTTGTAGATAGGTTTATCTGTTTGGACAAAGACCAGACTCTTTTGGTTTTTAACCACCACTGTGCTCCGCTTCCTGAATTCTTGAGTTGGTCCTTTCACTTGGACAGTGAGGAACATTACCTCCTCTCTGGATGAAGACTGTGGAACCTGAAATACAGATGAGATCCTGGGAACCCATTCAGCCTCTCTAGTCTTCTCCATTCCCTGTTCCTGTCTGAAGATCTTTCCCTTTTCACTTAATTTCATTCCCTCATTCCCATCTGGGAAAGTTGGCATAGACAGGAAGTGCTTCTACCTTTTTTTTTTTTCAAATGGAAAGACAGAACACAAGGTTTTGAAAAAGCAGATTATTAAGAAAAGTTATAACTGAGAATCATATCTTCATAGAGCTCAGACCAAACAATTTTGATTCATTTACACACTAAGCTTTACAAAGTTGATGTTTTATGCTAAAATGGCATGGTAGAAACATGTCTTAAGGTTGTGAAAATAAAGCATGATGATATTTCATTGATACTAGATTGCAAGTATCCTTATGTAGTTGACTCTAAAGAGATTGGGTATTTGCTCAGGGTAGTTTTAGAGGTTTTTTTTTTTTTTTTTTTGGTGAGAGAGAGTAACTGGGGATTGAACCCAGGGGTAATTTATCATTGAGTGACATTCCCAGTCCTTTTTTATATTTTTTCAGATAGGGCCTTGATAAGTTGCTGGGGGTCTTGCTAAGTTGCTGAGGCTGGCCTTGAATTTGCAATTCTCCTGCTTCAATCCCCCACCACCTGAGTTACTGGGATTATAGGACTGCACCACTATGCCTGGCTTACAATTTTTATTATTAGAAAAAGTGTGATGTTTTCCTATTAAGTCCACTACTGGTGGTTGTGTTGAACCATGACCTGGTTTGTTTGTAAATGTTTTCTCCATTTACATTTTAAGAAGTCACATTTTTTTCCTTTGTCTAGAGCATACTTCTTTCCCTGGTTAATATAATTTTTCCTTGACTATTAAATTAATTTTCAACATGCCTATAAATATTTGTCTCTTATGGTTGGAAATTTATGCACTGCTCTATAATTCCTACACTTAGTTTCTCCTTTAGAGTCCTTCCTGAAGTTCTTACTAGCCTCCCAAAGCCTTTTCTTGACAATATTAGATCCCCAGACCCTGACCAATAGAACTGAGTATATCTGAACAGACATACTCACAGTGAAGGAGATGCAGTGGAATAAGTCCTTCTGTGCCACCAGGTCAGTGAAAAGGCTCCTGTTTTCCCTTAGAGCCTCCAAGGAGACACTTACAGTCACTGTTTCATTCAGGTTGCTCAGAAGTACACAGGCCTTCTCAGAGGTCCCACTGTGGAGCAGGGAGGGGACCAGCACCATATATTGTCTGGGAATGGGGAAGTCCAGTTAGAAGAGAATGAAAGAAGGGAGACATTGCTATCAACAGCACTATGTTCCTTCAGGATTGTTGTTATCATCATTAGTTTTATACTAAGAAGAACGTATTCATGAGTATGAAACTGCTGTTGAATGGTATGCATAAGAATTATTTCCCCTCTCCATTATACACCATGGCAGTGAATACTTTATTTGAGGTGGGCCTCAAGCAGATTAAACTTTATAAGTACCTCACTTTAAGAAACACAAAAATGTACACATCTGAAATCTGAATAAAAATGTTAGTTATATTTACTTATGTTGTAAATCTGTTATACTTTAGGATCGATAAAAAAAGGCAAGCAAGCTCTCAGGCAATTGAGCACCAGAAAAACCATTCAAAGCATAGTACTTTTGTGAAACGTGTGTAAGTGTGGATTCAGCAACTCTGAAAATTACATGGCAAGTATTTGCTTTCACATTATAAATATGGAAACTGAGGCTCAAAGAAAGTGAGTCATTAAAATCTCAGTTGTGGAAAGCAGCTTATGAAATCTTGGTACTTTCCCTAGCCACAGTCATTTTAATTTTAAATATTTGCTTTTCAACTCATGACTAGAGGATGGCTCCATCCAAAAATGGTCCTCTAGTGATGAATGTAGATCTTGGTAATTTATGAACAGGACAGAAAATTTCTCAATACCCATAAATATAATGTAAGGTTGATTCTGTAGTTTTTAAACAGTTTTTCTTATACAACTCCTAAAATAATTTTTAGACATTGTGCAACCTCTTAAATACTTTCAAGTAAGCATCTGTTTTCATCACAATTTTATTTTTATATTTATTTAAAAATTTTTACATGACAGTAGAATATATTTTGAAATATTATACATATAGAATAAGTATAACTTGTTCTAATTAAGATCCCAATATTGTGGTTGTACATGATGTGGCATTACGTTGATTATGTATTTATATATGAGGATAGGAAAGTTATGTCTCATTCATATTGTCTTTCCTATTCCCACCCACCCTCCCTTCCCTTAATTCCTCTTTGTCTAGTTTGCCTGTAAATGTTTGGAACTGGAGAATATCATGATAAGTGAAATAAGTCAGTCCTAAAAAACCCAAGCAGAATGTTCTCTCTGATATGTGGATACTAACCCACAACAAAGGAGGAGAAGATTATTTTTATCACAATTTTAAATGATAGCGAAGCATATTATTTTGCTATTTCAATTAATATTTACATTATATTCACAAGTTTCCCATAGAACCTTAAATATTATAGAGATAATATACCCAATATCATTTACTTAAAAGTAAGAATTTCTTTTTATGATCAAAAATTTAACATCTTTCCTTTTCATTCTTATTCTTGAACTTTAATTTTCAGGCCACTTATCCACACAGAAGTTTATTCTAAGATTTTTATGCTTTAAAATTTTTTATACATCACTCTTACATTTTACAAATATGTATGCATATGTATATACATAAATTTATACGAGTTTATATATACAATATTTTATGTGGGTATAGAAATTTAACTTTAACTTTTAAATATAACACCACTATAAACTTGTAAGTACTAAATTTGTTCTTCTGATTGAATTATTTTCAAAAGTTGTAGTGTACGACTGATAAAAATAAAATAAATATCTTACAAATTATGATTTATACATCTTAGACATAAAATTAAAATTCTTTGGAAGCACATATTCAGTGAGAATGATGAACTCTTTCCTTCAAGTGAATTTATATATCTATCTTTAGATATTTCTTATTTTAAGAAATAAATAAGGGCTGACATTACTTTGGTTACTACTTTGGTTTATGTAGATATAAAGAATTGGTCCCAGAAAAGTAAGTAAATGTCAGATTAAAAAAAAATCATGTTATTGCCATTACTTCCTGCAACTCTGTTATTATGACCCAAATCACCCAGTACTGTATTACTAAGAATAGTTTCTCATCATCTGTCAGGTGGTATTTCCTTTAATTCTTTTTTTCACTTTTGGTGAAACAAAGACTACATTACCATGTGCTCTGATTCTGTCAGGAAGAGTCCTTTACTTTTGCAACATTGATACCTGTATTTCACCTGTTCGTTTATTTGGAACCCTAGAGGGTTTTTTTGTTTGTTTGTTTTGCCCAGGGCCTATTGAACACATCCAGTGCTTTTCAATTTTTATTTTATTTATTTATTTGTTTATTTTTTTAGTTGTAGATGAACTCAATACCTTTATTTTGTTTATTAATTTTTATGTGGTGCTAAGATCAAACCCAGTGCCTCAGACATGCTAGCCAAGCACTCCACCTCTGAGCCATGACGACCCCAGCCCCTTTAATTTTTATTTTGAAACAGGATCTCACTAAGTTCCCAAGGTGGGCCTAGAATTTGTGGTCCGCTGGCATCAACCTCCCTGGTCACTGGGAATACCAGTGCACCCTAGAGAGTTTTTATAGTCCAGGACAGTGCTCCATGGTCAGGTCTGGTTAGGGAAAGTTTTGTCCTTATTTTATGACGTAGAAGATAGGAAATTAAGAAGGGAAAGAAGAAAAAAAAATAGCATGTCCTCATCAGATCCATAGGAACAAGAGTATCTGAAAATTGATTTATTTTAAAAGTATCAATTTCTGATGTTCCTTAAGCTTTGCATGTCGTTGGGGGAGGTTAGAGATTTAGAGATCCAGTGAGTTAGAGAAAGATGACTAAGACTTAAGTGAAAAATAAATACACCAAATTTACAAAATCTCATGGTTGGAAGGAAACTTAAGAGATGATAATGGTGACAGTTTCAGAGGAAAGATGAATGAAATAAAGGAGAATCTGAAATAAAGGAAAAAGTTATTTAAGTTCCGTTGTCAGGCTGTCTGAGGAACTCACGGTTTTCCAGAGATGGAGGCATCTGTGGGCAGGAGGATCAGGAAGAGGAGAACAAGACTTGGTTGAAGAAGTTTGCTCTTCCTCATGCTGCAGGGAGAAAGGCCCAGAGGAGAACAAACTCTGTCTTGGACCCTACTCCCTCCAATCGATCTGGTCCTAAACACTGCAAAGCAATGGGGCTTTATGCTGCTCTCTGTGCAAACTTCCTGTTTGCACAGCATAAAGTTCTCTAAACAAAGTTGAGGTCTCTGAACGTTCTCTGAAAGGGTCATTGATGGTCTAATTTCAGTCAAGGTTAATCCCTGGCAGGCTAAATAGAATTCTTGGAGGGATAAAACCATATTCCCGTTAATGCTCACTTTCTCTAGCTTTTACAGTAAAGCAGCTAATCAGCTTTTCAACTACTTCTCTCTCTGTCCCCACCACCTTCCATGGTGCCTTTTACAACTCTTCTTGTGTGTCTTGTATGAATTGTTGGCAAGGAAGTTTTGCTGTTTAAGTAATACTGGGAAGGCTCAAAATAGTTCACTTTAAACTGATGTGATTCTGCAATCTGTATACGGGGTAAAAATGGGAGTTCATAACCCACTTGAATCAAATGTATGCAATATGATATGTCAAGAGCTTTGTAATGTTTTGAACAACCAATAAAAAAAAATGTCGTTTTAGAACTATTGCATTCAAACTTAAACAAATAAAGACATTGTAGAATGACTCGGAATAAATAATCCATGATGCTTTTGAAAATAGAATTCAGTGCCCCTAATTTTAATGTAACTTTTATAGCTTTGTTGAGAGAAAATTTAGAACTCATAGCACTGATTTTATAGTAAATCTCCTGGGAAAGGGCAGTTTCTGCAATTGACAACTTTGTAAGACTCTTAGAATCTGGCAGTATTCAAGAGAGAGCAATAAAACACAGGACAGACATTTATCATAAATAAAATAAAAGCCAATAACTCATTACTAAAAAAAAATAGTTCACTTTAAGTCAGTGTGCCTCCATCTGATTACGCCTTCCTTCAATGCTGAAGCTGTTTCAGAGCTCAGTGGTCCTCTGTGGAAACAAAATTAGATCAAGATAGTAGGTTTTGACCTTAGTGATCTTACTAGGTCACAAATGAAAATCCAGGCACCGGAAGAATGATAACAGAAAATGGGGTTTCATTTATTAAGAAAATGAAAAGAGGAGAAGTAACAGGACCTTAATAACAAGTTTCAACCCACTGTAACTAACAAAGATCTCAACTACTCCTAACATCTACATTTGAATTTCCTGTCTTCTAAGTATGACAGACCTATTTTTAAGTTATATACAACAATTTTATTAATTCATTCACCTGTCCATTCATTGATGTGGCTATTTGGTTATTTTGTAAGCACTTATTGATCTTACTAGAGCTAGATACCATGCAAGATCCTAGAGATAGAATGACCAAATATAAAGGGGCATACAACCCAAACTTGGGGCCTTGGAAAGGAAATTTAGGGGAGAAAAAATGTAAATTGAGTTCTGAAGTATGAGTGGTGTTTGTGAGATGAAGGAGATGAAGAGAGAATTCTAAGCTTAGGAAACGATGTGTTCAAATGCTCAGGAGGTGGCAACAATTAAGGCACTTTCCATGAGATGAGAGCTATTTAGTATACTTAGAAGTGTGGTCAAGAAAGCTGGCTTCAAATCAGGAAGGAATTAGCAATGTTAAGGTTTTTGGGGAGTAATCAGTGGATTGACTTCAGATTTGTTTTCTGGAGAGATGGCTCTTCCTGAAATTTGGGAGACTGACTGGAGGAGGTGCTGTGGGAGGCAGGGAGACCAGCTGGGAATTGGTGTGATTATATTGGTGAGAGCTGATGGCATTTGAAACCAGGGTAATTCATGATAGATTTGGAAAAATATTGCAAAATATTGCAAATTTATATAATCTTCAAGGGAACAAAAAATATGCCTTTTAAATTTCCAACTGCTTACTGAGTAAAGGATGTTGCTTTTAACTTAGTGGGTAAAACAGAGGAAACAAATTGGGAAGAACAGAAGGAATGACAGAGGCCTGGGGATTAGTAAAGAGCATAGTTTTAGAAAGTGCTTGTGTGATATTAACATGCATAAGGAGTTTAGCATTTGACCATAAAATGGAAATCATGTGTCCAAAAAGGCAGAACAGTAAGACACCATGGAAGTGAGCAGATTTTCTCCATCATGTGCTCCCTACCGCAAAGTTCTGCCTTACCTCAGGCCCAAAGCAATGAGGCCAAGCAGCCAGAGGCTGAAACCTTTGAAACCATGAACTGAAATAAACCTTTCCTTCTTAAGTTTATCTACCTCAGGTATTTTGTCATAGCAACAGAAAACTGATGAACATAAGTTTTGTCATTGTGATGTGTAGAAACATGCAAATGAATCAAATGGGTCAGTTTGGGGAGAAACTCAAGAGAGTGGGATTTCTGAGTTCCTACAAAGAAGATCATTTTAACAAAATAATAATCAACAGAAGATTTTTTTACTACGCCAGAGTGATTGTGACTATGCCAACACATCATTATTAATAGAATACTAAATTAAAAATTATAAACAATTGTATAATTTTATAGAGTATTTATTTAAAAATAACAGAATTTAAACTGTCTTTAAGAAGCTAGAAATAACTGAACACTTACTTGTAAGATTAACTACTTCAAATAGGAGGGATTAATAGCATTGATTTGATGACTCATAAGTTGCCAAGTTGATATAAATTATTATTGCTAAATTCTTGGTTATTCTTTCAAATGCCACTGTGAAATCAAATTATGTATTGGTAATTTTTCTGCTGGAGTTAGAGACAAAAACAATGTGATCCAGTTATTTCAGTGTCTCTATAGAGCAGATGCTTGATTGTAGCTTCCTAAGGAATGTGAAACTGTGAGAAACAGGCTTTGGCTTATGTGAAGGGGAGAAAAACGATAGGGCAGTATTTAGTAGAGATGCAGGCTGAAAGGAAGATATATTTAGAAGGAGAGATACTTGAACAAGTTTAAAGGAAATGTTGCTTCTACAAATGCTGAGTGGGAGGAGCAGATAAAAAGTAGGCAGCGGAACCATGTATAATAAAAAGGGATAATACCAGAGTGAGGCTTCTGAGGATGCAATGAACAGATGTATTAGAGAATGTGTATACAGTGGAGTATTATTCTGCTATAAAGAATGAAATCCTGTCATTTGGAGCAAAATGGATGGAACTGGAGGACTCTATGTTAAGTGAAATAAGCCAGACACACAAAGACAAGAATGGAAGTTTTTCCTCTCAATAAGGAAGCTAAAAATATTCAACCTGGAAATAGAATAGTGATCACTAGAGACTTGAAAGGGTGCATGTGTGGGGGTGGGTGTCAAAAGGAAAGTTGGATTTGATCAATGCACACTTATATGTGTGTATGGAAATACCACACTCAAACCCTTCACCAAAGGGAAAAATTTAGAAGGAAAAAAAATAAAAATGACTGGACCAGTCAGTTACCAGAACACCTGAGTTGTAGCTTTGACTGAACTGTGTAGTTTTGGATTAGTTAATGGTTCTGAGCGTCAGTTTCCTTGTCAGTAAATTTTGTGGTAATAATATCTGTGTCATCAACTCTGTGGGAGTAGTTTATATAAAGTGGTATATGTAGTAGAGCTTTAAAGTTGTAAACTTCAGTGTACAAGTATAGATTTTTATTTTGCATTATAATGATGGAGAAAGAGGTCATTTCATATCTGCTCTGGGATTTGATGTAGGACTAGCATCCAACAGCCATTCTAGGAAAAAAAAATGCTTTAGGCTATTAGAGTAGCAAGTCTTTGACAGAAAATAGTGCATCTGACTTGGATAAGTTCTGCACAGCTTTTGAAATCTAAGCAAATATGTACTGCTAGAAAGCTGAGGCAAAACAAGAAGAGAAAAGAAAGGGGAAAATTTTAAGGAAAAGAAAGTAGTGGGGCAAAGTACAGAAAAACACATGGCATTAAGAACAAAGGAGGAGGGTTGGGGTTGTGGTTCAGTGGTAAAACGCTTGCCTAGCACATGTGAGGCCCTGAGTTCAATCCTAAGCACCACATACAAATAAATAAAATAAAGGTATTGTGTCCACCTACAACTAAAAAAAAAAATTAAAAAAAAGAACAAAGGAGGAATATTGGGGCATTGAGAAAAATTTGAGTGTTCTACCCCAAAGTGCATCTTGTACTTTCCCAGATCTCTCCAGTTCTGTAGTGGAAATGTTTTTATCAGCCAATAGGAGGTAGATGGGCCTTCATAAAAATAGATAAGAAAAATATTTTCTCCTTGGATCACAATGTCCTTGCTAGGGATTGAATGTGACTTATCTAATCATACCAGCATACACTTAGTCTACTTTGCCTGAGAAAATAGAACATTTATGGTTCATCTATTTCCTGTCAGTGATGACAAGGACATTTCAGCTGGTTGCATATTAACTACCTTCAAAATCAGATTATTCAGTTGGTGACATAACTATATTAAGCTATCAGAGATGTACTGGCTTTATTTTTACATATTATCTTGGACAAAACCTGGAGTGAGGGGAGCAAAATGTATCAACAGAGATGTTCTCAAAGATCAGAGTGTTCTCATTTGTTTATCTCATTAGCATTGTTTTCCTCTAACATTTTTTCCCCTTAACTTTTAATAAGAATAATATTTTCATGTACAAAGTCAAAATTATAATAAATTCTCAAATTGTTTTTCTCTTAACATTATGCTTGCCATAGTTTCAAAAATCTTCAGAATATTAGTAAGTGTTTTATCCTTTCAATTAAAATTCTATTTGCTCTTTGTTTTTTTAAGAGGATTGGTGTTACTGGAGTCGACATTGCGATACAAGGGAACTGGAAGTTTGTACAACTGATAAAATCCAATGACTATCCTGTATATACATACTTTTGAATGGGTAGAGGTATTTTGATTCATCTGTGCTGTGGAACTTGCAAAGTCAAAGAGCATACATATGTTTAAAAATTTTTAGATGTGCTGTCATGTCACCTTTCTTAAAATGACTTTGTGAATTTACCTTCTTACCATCCATTCTTAAGAGTATGTATTTCTCCACAACTTGTCTTTTAAAGTTTTTATAATTATATATAATCAAGTTTGTGATTATGATGCTTAAGATCATTGTTACTTTTAGGAGCTCTGTTTGT